AAAAAAAAAAAAAAAAAAAAAGGAAGGCTAAGCCATTAGAGTTGAAGTGGGTGGTTGCAGTGATGGAGTGGCAGGTGGTGGTTGTGATGGTGAGGGTGGTGGTTGTAGTGATGGTGATAGTGGTTTTGGTGATCGTGGTTGTAATGGAGGAAGGGGTGGTTGTAGTGATGTTGATGATGGTAGAGGGGTGGAGGTGGTGACCGTATGAGAGTGCTTCTATTTCTGATCTATTACTCTGGTGCAATGAGGTTTAAGGAAACATCCTGCCCCTAACTTCTACTTTGAGGATGAGAATGGTGTTCAATAGAACCTTATTTCGGGTGGATGGGAAGCTCCCTGTCCACCTAGGATTGTTAACAATCTCTCCAAAATGGGGCCAGGCCATACTACAGACCTCAGAGCCAGGAGGATGGGCAAGGAGGGCCTGTGGGTGAGTGCCCTGGGGCTAGGAATGTGTTAGTCCTGGAAGAGCCACAGTAGAAAGGATGGCTGGGCCCTGAGGCTCTAGGACCTGTGGAGGGCTAGCTGGTACTTGTACCTCCTCCTAGGAAGGAAACCCAGATCAAAGATAATGATGCAGGCACACGTCTAACAACTCACCCTCTGAAGAAAAAAACATGTTTAAAATCCCCAACTTGGTAGTGTTTGCTGATTACCATGGTGTAAATACTCCTGCTACAGCTGATGTCAAGCTACGGACGTGATGTCATTGAGCATGGAACTGGGAAGAGATGCTCAGCACACCATTATCTAGATTACAGTGGTTGTAATCTAATCAGCTGTCCACGACCCTTTAATACAGATCCTCATGATGTGGTGACCCCCAACCATAAAATTATTTTCATTGCTACTTCATAACTGTAATTTTGCTAACCTTGTGAATCATAACGTAAATATCTGATATTAGGTGACCACTGTGAAAGGTCTTTTGACCCGCAAAGGGGGGGCAACCCACAGGTTGAGAACCTCTGATTTAGAATTTCCACCATATAGCTACAATAGATGCAAATAACCTCAAGAGCACGGCCAATAGTAAAACGTAGTAAAATATTGGGCAGTGATGATTTTCAAGTTTTTATTTTCTCGGTTTTTAATAAGATATTGAATTGTAAATTTATATAATTTAGTTGTGTTTAACCACCTGCTAGCAAACTCCCTGAATATTTTCTAGTTGGAGTTCGTGATGGGTGGGAGCCGGCTCCAGCACACCTGTGACAGACACCTGTGCACAGGGTGACTGGCCTCATGATGGCTACTGGTGGCCTCTCTGTTCTCCCCAGGCGGATGTTCCCCTTCCTGTCATTCACCGTGGCAGGGCTGGAGCCCACCAGCCACTACAGGATGTTTGTGGATGTGGTCTTGGTGGATCAGCACCACTGGCGGTACCAGAGCGGCAAGTGGGTGCAATGTGGAAAGGCCGAAGGCAGCATGCCAGGTGTGTTCGCCCTTGGGTCCGGTAGGCACTCCGGTTTCTCCAAGACTGCGCGCCCCCTGGTGGGCCCCCAAATCTCTGCCCCCGATGATTTAATTCTATCCCACTCTATCCATTGTTTCTGGCTTTCGTTTTGTCTGCAGTCTCTTTTCTATTTTAGCCTGTCCTCTATTTGGACCTCTGTCCCTACCTCCCACTGCCCTGCCCCATCTGGTCCTCACCCTTCATCCTTATCCACATCCTTCTCCACATCCGTCTCAGAATAGCCAAAGCCCACATTGCCAGGGGTCTGTTTCGGGGGCTTCGTGCCAAAAAGGTTAATTGTCTGCAGGAAACCGCCTGTACGTCCACCCAGATTCCCCCAACACTGGAGCTCACTGGATGCGCCAGGAGGTTTCATTTGGGAAGCTAAAGCTTACAAACAACAAGGGGGCCTCCAACAATGCAACCCAGGTAGGACTTGTACCTCCAAAGTGGTCTCACCCCTGAGGCCATGGGAATCCTACAGGACCTATGCTGTTCCCGAAGGGACATTTTTCTTCCAATGGCTGGTTCTCTCCCACCCACCTTCGGGGGAAGATGGAATGGGAGGAAGTGGGATCTGAGATGGGGTCATGTTCAGGCAGACACAGGCCTGGGGGTTCTTCACCAAATCCCAAGCTGCCATTGCTCAGGCACCATGATGCGGGCAGAGTTGGTTGCAGAAAATGGATGCAGAGTTTCCTTAGATGGAGTGCTTTTGCCCTGTTTGTGCTAGTACTTCAGTTACTGTGGACATCCTGGGGCAAAAAAAAGGGTAAGAGGCTAGCGTTGATGCCCCAAGTAGCCTGCGGACTGGAGTTGGAAGGCCTGGGAGCAGTGATATGGTGGCTGGGCAGGAGAATGGACACATAGGGCCAGTTGTGGCTGGGCTGGGGGGATCCTTTGACTCCCTTCTCCTCACCCCCTATGACCATCTCGCTCTTTTCTCAGATGATTGTGCTCCAGTCCCTTCATAAGTACCAGCCCCGGCTGCACATTGTGGAGGTGAATGATGGAGAGCCTGAGGCAGCCTGCAATGCCTCTAACACGCATATCTTCACTTTCCAAGAAACGCAGTTCATTGCTGTGACTGCCTATCAGAATGCGGAGGTGAGGGCTGCCACAAAGAGTGTGTCTGAGCCTGGGAGGGGCGGGGGTAGGGCAGGGCCCTGCAGTCTTCCTTGGGAGGGATTTTGGAAGTTCCTGAGCCTTAGACTTGGGACTCAGAGGGTTCTGTTTCCCTCCTCTCTAGATTACTCAACTGAAAATTGATAATAACCCCTTCGCCAAAGGATTCCGGGAGAACTTTGAGTCGTAAGTGCCACTGGGTTCAATTTCTCTTTGGTCCCTCCCGAGATGGGACTCTGGATCTGTGCTCAGCATGTCCCCTGCCTCTCATGAGGGAAGGGTGCTGCGAGGGTGCTGGGAGGGTGAGAAGGGTGCTGGAGGGTGGACCAGCCAGAGAAGAAGGGTCAGGGGAGGGACATGCAACATGTGGGCTCACAAGGGACCAGTTCTGCCAGTGACCTTGACTCTCTTGCCTCCTACTTTTTAGCATGTATGCTTCTGTTGACACCAGTGTCCCTTCCCCGCCTGGACCCAACTGTCAGTTCCTTGGAGGAGACCACTACTCTCCACTCCTACCCAACCAGTATCCTGTTCCCAGCCGTTTCTACCCTGAACTTCCAGCTCAGGCCAAGGATGTGGTTCCCCAGCCCTACTGGCTGGGGTCCCCCCGGGACCACAGCTATGATTCGGAATTTCGGGCAGTCAGCATGAAGCCTGCATTCCTGCCCTCCGCCCCTGGGCCTACCATGTCCTACTACCGAAGCCAGGAGGTCCTGGCACCTGGAGCTAGCTGGCCTGTGGCCCCCCAATACCCTCCCAAGATGGGCCCACCCAGCTGGTTCCGCTCCATGCGGACTCTGCCCATGGAACCTGGCCCTGGAGCCTCAGAGGGGCGTGGGCCAGAGGACCATGGCTCCCCCTTGGTGTGGACTGAGATCACCTCCATCCGGCCAGAGTCCAGTGACTCAGGACTGGGCGAAGGAGACTCTAAGAGGAGGCGCGTGTCCCCCTATCCTTCCAGTGGTGACAGCTCCTCTCCTGCTGGGGCCCCTTCTCCTTTTGACAAGGAAACTGAAGGCCAGTTTTATAACTATTTTCCCAACTGAGCAGATGACAAGGTGACAGGAACAGAAACAGTGTTACTAGGTTGGAGGACGCCACTAACTTAAAAAGAGTCAGGACTGAGAAGCCCCAGGCTCCCTCTGTCCCTTCTCCATGCAGTGGTTGGTTAGGGAAGAGGGGGGCCAAGAAGCATTCTGGGGTTTGCTTGCTGCTTCCTGGCCTACAGTGAAATGTGAGAGGTGTTTCCTCTGCCCTAAGTACAGTCATTTACCTGGTGCTGCTTCTGGCTGTTGGTTCCCAGCCAGAGAACAGAAAACAGACGAAGAGAAGGTCTCAGACACAAAGAAACATCTTTGAGTCTGGCAGGGTGGGTGGAATCAGGTGGGGAAGGTGGGAACAGGAGAGTCAGCTCTTTTCCTTTGTAAAGTAACTTTCAGTGTTTTTGTTTGCACGTCTGAAAATAATAATTAATACATGGATTTTATAACCATCAGCCAGCCAGAGTCAGGGAGAGGACTGAGGTGACTTTAGGCAGCTGGCAGGCCAGCTCAGACGCAGTGGGGTTCAGAGGAAGGGCCTGGAATGGGGGGGATGGCGCACATCTCAAGAAGCAAGACCTTGTTGGTGGTGATCATGTGTGCATGCGCGCACGTGCCTTTTTCTTTTCTGAATGGGGGAGGCTATTTATTGTATAGAGAGTGGTGTCTGGATGTATTTCTTTTGTCTTCATCACTTTCTGAAAATAAACATGAAACTGTTGAGTGTGTTCTGCCTCGGTGCCAGCATGGGGGGCATGGGTGGGCACTCATGGGTGGGTGCTGGGGTACCAACACTGTTCTGTGTGCTCTCATTTCTGGGGTACCTGCTAGAAACCTAAAGCGTCTTAACTCAGGGGATATTAGAGCAAGACCATGTGTCCTATCTCGCCACTCAGGTTGGTGGTTGATGCGGTCTCTTAAGTCATCTTGGGACAGAGAATTGTCCTTTGGCCTTTGTATGTACTTTGAATTGGGGAGAAGGGAAGTGAGGGATAGGCCTGAGGGTGGGCCGGTGTGGGTTGGGGAGGAGGTTGTGGGTGGGCTCTCTGGAAGGGGAGACACTTGATTTCGTTATGCATTTCTAGTTGCCCTCCGTCTTCATCTCTAGGGCTATTCAAGGGTTAAAGAAGTAAACGTAAACTGAACCACGTGAAATCACCATTTTTGTAGGTCAAGAAAGCCAAATATTGGCAAATTTATATAATTCAACCTAATACATATAAACAGTTGAAGAACAGTGCCTGATAAACAATAAGCACTCAACGTGCAAGGATCGCTATGATCATTTTCTTTTCTTTCTTTTTTTTTTTTTTTTTTTTGAGACAGAGCCTCAAGCTGTCCCCCTGGGTAGAGTGTCGTGGCATTACAGCTCACAGCAACCTCCAACTCCTGGGCTCAAGCGAGTCTCCTGCCTCCGCCTCCCAAGTAGCTGGGACTACAGGCGGCCGCCACAACGCCCGGCTATTTTTTGGTTGCAGCCGTCATTGTTGTTTTGGCGAGTCCGGGCTGGGGATTCGAACCCGCCACCTTAGGTGTACGTGGCTGGCGCCTTAGCCGGTTGAGCTATAGGTGCCGAGCCTCTATGATCGTTTTCTGGCTGATTCTATTGCTGTCTCTTATACACACATGTATTGTGTTTGCAAAAAGACATGTGCTTCTTTTAAAGAATTCAAGCAATGAAGAAAAGTATAAATACAGCAATAAATTATCCCAAAGCTCACCACTTACCAAGAATTATCATGGCCTAGTGTGGTAGCTCGCACCTGTAATCCCACTTACTTGGGATGCTAAGGTCGGAAGATCCTTTGAGCACACTGTATTCCAGCCTGAGTAACAGAATGAGACCCTGTCTCTTAACAAAAGAAAAGAAATAAAAGATAAAAAATTAACATTAGATAGGTTAGATACACAGAAATACTACTTTTTTTTTTTTTTTAAAGAAATGGGGTCTCAAACTCCTGGCCCATAGTGTGGGATTATAGGTGTGAGCCATTGCCTCTGGCCCAGAAATACTTGTATAAAATTGAAATCATGCTAAAAATGCTTTTTCTTAATGAAAAGTTTAGGATTTTTAGTTTATAGAAATTAATAACAGGAAGAAATCAAACACACAGGCAAAACACCCAAAATTCTCAAGTGACATAAAGGGGTTCTCTGAACTTGAGATAATTTTTTCTTCAGTATAAGAAATATTTCCTGCAAGAACACTTGAAAGTTACAAAGGGAGGTTATGGGAAACATTAAGAGGTTGGAATTTGCCTCCCCTCAGTCTAGGTGTGCTCCATTCTAATAGTGAAACATCATCATGAGCTGTGGAAACCAGAGAAGTTTTTAAAAAAACCACAGTTCACGCTGGGCATGATGGCTCAGACCTGTGATCCTAGCACTCTGGGAGGCTGAGGTGGATGGATTTCTTTTTTTCTTTTTTTTTTTTTTTTGAGATAGAATCTCAAGCTGTCCCCCTGGGTAGAATGTAGTGGCATCATAGCTCACAACAACCTCCAACTCTTGGGCTCAAGTGATCCTCTTGCTTCAGTTTTTCTATTTTTAGCAGAAACAGGGTCTTGCTCTTGTTCAGTCTGGTCTTGAAACATAAGCTCAGGCAATCCACCTGCCTCTGCCTCTCAGAGTGTTAGGATTACAGGCATGAGCCATGGAGTTCAGAAGTTTGAGACCAGCCTGAGCAAGAGTGAAACCCTGTCCCTACGAATAGGCATTGTGGTGGGCACCTGTAGTCCCAGCTACTCAGAAGCCTGAGGCAAGAGAATCATTTGAGCCCGAGTTTGAGGATGCTGTAAGCTATGATACCATGGCACTCTACTGAGGGTCACAATGTGACACTCTGTGTCAAAAATAAATAAATAAAAATAAAAAAATAAAAAAATTACAGTTCACATTCTCTCCTTTATTCATCTTTACCCTGAGTCCATTTTATCACCTTCTAGTCAAAGAAGAAAAAATGAAACATGCTTGCCTCCACCCTCTTTGAATTTAGAAGCTCATAATTTTGTAAATGACATTAGGAGTTCTTCCACATTGCCCTTTGTAAGTTCAGATTATTTCTCCTCTCATCCCTACCCCTTGGCCGTCACTTTCTAAAGTTAATGGTATTAAGTTAGGACTATTTCCTTTCTTAGGGAACTGTTATTGGCAAGTCTAATATTCTAATATTCTCCCCATTATTTAAAAATGATTTTTGTTCCCTTCTTTAGATATGAAGCGAGGGGACTACTGATGGACCCTTACTGTCTTTTACCAGAAGTCTGGCTGCATATGCTTTGATGCTGTGTTATTTGGCTCATAAAGGTTCATTACTATTATTTCTTCACTATGAAATGTGCCTTTTACTGTGTGTATATATGTATGCTATATAGATATGCTGTATGTATATATATATATATATCTGTAATGTATATATAACCTAAATACATACAACTCAAGAGCTAAAGCACTAATATAATTGCCTATATTTCTCCCATCCCATCTCTTGCCTTTCCTTTATAGATAACCAATATCTTGAATTTTGAGGTTATCCTTTTCTTCCTTTTTAAAATTATATAATTGGATACAAGTCTAACTACTATGTTATATAGTTTTGCTTTTTTATATATAATCTTGATTTTTAACTGTTTTTAAATTTTGTTCATTTGTGGAAAGTAGTTACGTAGTTTATACATTTTCACTATTTCGGGATAATCCAGTATGTGTACAGGTTTGTATAATTTACTTATCTATTTTCCTACTGACAGGTTCTAAATTTTTGTTATTATGAGCAGCTTTGTTATGAATATTTTTATACATGTTTCCAGGTACACAAGTGCTTAAGTTTCTAACTTTGCAAATAGCTAGAAGTGGATAGAGGATAGAGTATGTGACTGTTTGGTTTGACAAGATGATTATTTATACTGCACTTATCTTTCTCCAGATTATTGCTCATTTTCTCATTTTCTTTAAGGTGATTTTCTGATAAACAGAAATTTGTAGTTTTAGTGGAGTTAAATTTAATAGTTTTACTTTTTTTTTAGAGACTGAGTCTCACTTTATTGCCCTTGGTAGAGTGCTGTGACGTCACAGCTCACAGCAACCTCCAACTCCTGGGCTTAGGTGATTCTCTTGCCTAGGCCTCCCAAGTAGCTGGGACTACAATGCCAGGCTATTTTTAGAGACCAGGTCTCACTCTGGCTCAGGCTGGTCTCAAACTCGTAAGCTCAGGCAATCCACCTGCCTCAGCCTCCCAGAGTGCTAAGATTACAGGCAGAAGCCATTGTGCCCCACCTAATAGTTTTACATTTTATAGTTAGTACTTTTCTTTGTCTTATTCAAGAAACCCTTTCCTGCTTGAAGGTCAGAAAGATATTCATCTGTATTTTTTCCCCTATAGGATTTGAAAGGGGAAATTTTTTGTTTGTTTGTTTGTTTGACAGTTAATTCTTTTTTGTGTATCATGTGAGGTAAGGATCTGTTTTCGTTTTGTTTTTTACCCTCAGTATGGATAACCAATTTTTCCTGTTTGTTTTTGTTGAATAGTCTTTCCTTTGTCCATGACAATAGTCTGCCATGCTATTTCTGGTAGAGGAAGTCTTCTTCTTCTTCTTCTTCTTTTTTTTTTTTTTT